ACTTAACACCAAGACCACGACCAAACTCACCTTCGCACCATGTAGAGCAACAACACCAGCCACAGCGACCACCAACAACACGTCAACCACAAGCCAAAACAACCTTATAAAGGAATCAAACACACATCAATGATCACATGAAGAGGCTGAGAATCGATTTTGGTCTATGGGAGAATCGATTTTCCACACGTGAAAGGAGTGAGAATCAATTTTCATGTGTTTGAAAAGAAGGGAGAATCGATTCTCCATCAAGTTCAAAGATGGGAGAATCAATTCTTTGTGATTCTCTCGGCCACTCTCACATTGTTTCTCTGTCAATCACCACCACCAACACACCACACACCAAATCAACCTCAAATAACTCACCACTCACAAACTAAAGACACAAACTCAACTCACACATAAGACAAGAACTCACGTCCACGACCAACCCCCATATTTAATGGAACTCTTCGTCGCTTGCTGGGACAAGGAAAGACTGTAATTGCATGTGAGTAAGGTTGTTCAGCTGGAATCAGATTCCTCTGCAAAGAGCCTGCATGCAACCTCTAAAACGAATCCTCGATGCGCTGCATGCATGCACAGACCCAGACCCACGCGAATTTGTAATAGCTATTATTTAAGGATTTTGAGATGAGGGCAAAACTATAACTTCACTCTCCATCCCCTTTCTTTCGTCATTTTTCTCCTCATCTATGCAAGGATCCTTCTTCCCCACGCTGCCTCAAATATTTGCTCGCATATATTCTCATATTAGTTGAAACAAACATATCTACTCGCTTTTCCATCGGTGTGAATAGTAAATAGGTGAAAACAAACACAATGAAAGTGAGGATATGTTTGATTTTGACGTATTTCATCACAACAATTTGGTTAGGTTATATTCAAATTAGACATTTAAAAAAAAATCAAACAAAAAATTGTTTGAAATAAAATTTAATACAGTTATGCAACGAATTTTGGAAACGTGATTGATTGTTGTCTGATCATTCTCAAAAAATAAAAAGTGGAAGCTTTATAGTCATAGTTTATCACTTTTGCACTTCCACATACATAATTAGTAAATTTATAATTAATCGTTCGAAATCGACTTTTTTTTTTTTTCTATTTCTCTTTCCCGTTTCCAAGTTGAAAGTATCACGTGTACTTAGTGATAGGTGTTGTTTCTTAATTATATATTCAGAATTTTATTTTAATTATATATAATATATTTTAATAAAATGAAAAGCATCATAGTGAAATTTTAAATTTGATTGAAAAATCACTACAAGAAATTTGCAAATTAATTAGAAAAATTTGTTACCTAATTTATTTTTCATTAATATGTAGCTAATTGGTAATGGAATAAGGAAGAAACAAAATTTAGTTAATTTATAGTAAAATAGCTAGAAGATTAATATTTTCTAACCATTTTTTTCACTTAACAACAAAATAATATAGGCAAAAATAATTTGTCACTAATGTTTCGCTATGAACAACAATGTAATCAAAAAAAGAAATTTTAATTTTAGCTATTATTTTCCTAAAGTTATTTCCTAGCTAAATTGTGTGGTATACTATCGTTGCTAAACTGCAGTAAATTCATCGCAAATATCAAATTGAAAATAATTTCAAGTTTTTCTAAAAGAAATTATCTAGATTTTTTTTACCAAACTTGTTATAAATATAGTGTCGCAATCAAAAACGTGACTGGACGACTAAATTATGCTTCTAAATGAAAGAAAAACAATGGAGTCGCCACCAATATTTATTTTAAGAAAAAATATCGAAAAAAAAACTTCAGAAAGAAAAATGGTCTGCAAAATAAATGTTGAGTTCGAGAGTTGATTATGTGTAAGGAAGATATTAACACCTTATAACATCCATTCTTAAAAACGGTTACCTTTAATTAGATGTAAAAATAAAAATATCTTAAAATTATCTATTCTATCCCTCAAACCTATATATCAATTAGATATTGCTACTAAAAATAAAAGATAATATATTTTTATATTTTTAGCTCGACAGATGTCATCTCCCTGTTCCTACGTACCCAGGTGCAATGGAAAATCGAAGCAACGTAGTTTTTTTTATATAAAAATGTATTTGTGAGTAATTTATTTAAACTTATTTATTAGTGTTGCTAAATTAAAAATATACTTAGAATAATTATGAAATAAACAAATTAGAAGTGCATCTAAAGTTATTATTGTTTTTATAATTTAAGTAATAATTAAATTGGAAATGCATCCAAAATAATTATTAATATTCAAATATTTTTAATTATTATATTTATCATATTTTTACGTGGATTTAAGATACTTTAAAAATCAGTATTTATTATAATCAAATCAAAAGTACATTTGAAGTGATTATTATAAATTCATGATAATCAAATTAGAAGTACATCCAAAGTGATTATTTTTTTATATATAATTTTAAGTAATAATTAGTTTAAAATGTGCCCTAAACGAGTTATCACCATAATTAAACCCTTTTGAAATTCATTGTACTAAAAATTTAACATTTTAAAATAATTTTCATAATGATCAAATTAAAATACGATTTGAAGTAATTATAAAATTTTAATCTTACAATAATTAAATCAAAATTGTAATTATATTTGGAATTTATTAGTTTTAATTCCAAAAAGGGGCTGTAATATAATAACACCAAGAAATTTTAATTGTAACTAATGCAAAATATTATCCCTCTACTTATTTATTGATTTTTAAATAAAGGAGAAAGGAAATAATAATAATAATAATAAATTTTTCGTATTGGTAACTTATTTTATTATGTTATTTAGTTTAAAATAGAACAAAAAATATTCGGCCCAATAACTCATACAAAATTTTCAAATTACTATTTGAAATCTTTTATGTTATTTTCACCCCCTTCCAATTTGGGCCACACGCTTTTGTTTTTTAGCCCACTTTTCCGTCTCTCGACCCATTTCCTCTTAACCTAAACCTGATGGAAGCGCAGGAGATGGGAGCCGCAGGAGATCGAGTTGTGGAGGGGCTAGGACCGATACGTAACTGGACATAAATAAATAAGACCAGTACGTAACTGGACATAAAATAAACAAGCATAAAGCAGGACCGGTACGTAACTGGAGATAATTAAATTAGGACCAGTGCAAGATTAGAGATAAATAAACAAATATATAAAACACGACCAATACGTAATTGGAGGTAAATAAAATATAAAGAATAAATAGAATGAAGTTAGCGACACCTCACTCCACCGTTAGAATTTAATTAATTATATTATGTGACTCATGTGTAATATAATGATGGATCTAAATGTGATTTAATAAAATATAAAGACCTATTGATTATTATGTAAAGTTAGAATAAAATAAAGATAAAATAAAAAAAAACTTACTGTAACTAACTTGATGGACATTACTTAATAAAATGGATTAGGGTTCACTACTAGAAAAATGATTAATACTGATCGAAATTAGTGACCGAAAAATTCAATCACCGATAGTAATCGAATTAGTGACCGATTTCCCTTTTTATATTTAGTGACTGATTTAGTAACTAACATTTCAGATCACAGAAATCGGTCACTGATTCGATTACTATTAGAAAAATGGTTAATAGTGACCGAAATTAGTGATCGAAAAATTCAGTTACTAATAGTAACTCGAATCAAGAATCGATTTTTTTTTTATATTTAGTGACTCGATTTAGTGACTAAATTTCAGTTACTAAACAAATAATCTCTAAATTAATAATTATTTTCATTTATATAAATATTTTTTAAAATTATTTTAATAATATATTAAATATAAATCTACTTAATAATTTAAAATAATTGATAACATTTTTAATAATATTATAAAAATTTAAAAAATAGTTTAGTAACTTATTAAATAATTTAGTAATATAATTATTTTGTTTTTTTTTAATTTAACATGTGAATAAAAAAATTAAAATTGATTATTAAATTAGTCACCGAATCGGTCACTAATTCAATAATTAAATTAATTATTAATTTAGCCTCTTATTATATATATATATATATATATATATAATATGTATTTCAATGTATTTATAAAAAAAATAAAATTATTTTAATTACTAAATTGATATTAATATCTTGGATAATTTAATAGTTAGATAAATATTTTAAGTTTATATTAATCATTTTTATATAAAAGGGTAAAGATTAAGTAAACTTATTTTAAAATTTAATTAAATATAATAATATAATATAGTATTAATCATAAATATGTGAAGATTTAGTTAGAAATTAATTTTAAGTTTTATCGTTTTTTTTTTGAAAAAAAATTGTTAAAACGGATACACTTACGCAGGAATTATCAATTTTTGTATTAATTACTTAAAATGTAATATGTATACTAGTTTCTTATCAATTTACGGATGAAGATTATATTATGGTTAATGCTATAAATATGCTAATGTTTTGTATATTTGAAATTATTGAGAATCACAGGACATAATTGTTTTGGCATTGCACCTTGTTTAATGAGTCTCATCTCATGATTTTACTGTTTTTGAATAAATTTTAATTAATAGCATATGTCTGACATGAGGTTGATACATAATTTTTAACAAGCATTTATCTTCCATTATACTTGGCTCATCTGGTGGTCAATTATGTATCTAATTACTCGTGGTAAATTACGTGACTAATTACACATTCGCTTGTTCTATAACGAAAACATTGGAGAGCCATGGTTATGTGCGGAGAAAAGTTTCTTTGATTCTCGAAGACAATAAAATATAGGAAACTATGAAATTCGTGTACATTAACTTTGCCCTAGCTCCATTTCCAACCGGCGCCTCCATTACTTTTCCTCATCATTACTCCCTTTCGCAGAAGCCTCACTCTTCATCCACCTTTACCTCAACACCCATAACCCATAGATCCCCGCGCCTCACCTCAGGACCCATGACCCATGTATCCCCATTGTAGCCCACACCCAGCACCACCATAGCCCTCACCGGTGCCAGCTAGCACTCAAATCTTCCTCCCTTTATTTTTTATGCTTCACCTGTAGTCACTGTGAACCGCGGGGCCACTATGGTCGCACCACCACCGAGCCACCGTGCCTGACCCCTCACCGCCACTAACCCTACACCATCGAACCGGTCGCGACATGGCCAACGCCTTGAGTTGCTGCGGTTTCGCCACCTCTCCCTAGCCACCACCGTGACACCCCAACCAAACCCGCTTCTCCCCTCACTGGAGTCGCAACCCCCAAATCACCCTACCGCGCCTTCGCCTTTTCCACCCTTCCTTCCTCTCCATTGCAAACTCCACTCTCACGGTCTCCACCCTTAACCCTAGCACCGCACGGTGCAACCCCCATCGCGACCCATACCCGTTAGCACCACCGTGAGCCATCGCAAGCCAGATTCATGCCTAGTTGCGCCAAACACTCACCGGTCACCCTCAACGAAGTAGCGCACACCACCGCGGAGCCCTGGCCACGACTCGCCCCACGCCGACCACCGTGAATCATCCCAGTCTTGCTTTGTCGCACCACTATTGACTGAAAAGGGGATGGCCGAATGCCTCTCCCTGTGAATGAGGAGTTGACAGGGATCTCAGGTGGAAATTGAAACCAGAGACATTATTGGGTACAAAGTTCATTTTCTTTGTATTCTGTTGTTTGTGGTTTTACTTTTGTTTGATTGCTAGCATCTGTGGGGAAACCTGTTGTTGAGTTTATCGTTCTCGACTATTGATTGCTTTTGTCTGGGATTTGGATTGAGTTGGGGGTTATTTTTTTTCTTATGGGCCGTTTTGGACTGTTATTAAGGACTGTGGGTCCTATTCAGACTATGTTGTTGTGATGCCAAATTCTCATAAGTTGCGGCAAGATGCACTTATTCATACTTGAGTTTGTTTGTTCATTCTTTATTTTGTTATTTTGTCCTGTAAATGTTTTGGTTTCTAATGTAGTGTAATTATGGGGGAAATCACAAGCTTTGCACTTATAGTTTCACTTTGGTTCAATGAAATGGCGATTAATAGAAGAATGTTTTTTATGTGTGTTGTAATATAGTGTTTTGTTTTAGAAATGGCTCATCATGATTGAATATCGGTTGATGGAAGCCAGAGCTGAATAAAATTTAGAAACAAAGAAAGAAAGAAAACCAATTTGCATGGTGAAAAGAAAGAGTAAAAAACTTAACGGCCACTCCCACCAATTACTCTTTTATCTTCAACTGCATCATCTAAACAAAACTACCCTCAAATCTATTTTCATTCATTTTTCACTCTTCTTATTTCCTAAACCTAATACCTAATTATTTCATTAACTCTAGTTAACTATCATTTTTACTACCACCTCCAAATTCTAATCATATCATAACCTGCATTTTCTCAACTTCAAGGTAAGTTCCTAGCTAATTGCTTCTTTATTTTTCTCTATTAACAATTAACCGTTGCTGTATTTTATGAATATTTTCAATAAAAATATTTTTTTTACAATAATTAACCACCCAAAATAAAACTTTGATTGTCAATTAGTCCTCTCAGCATTAAACAATCATCATCCTATTTTAAATGAATGCTTTTTTATTTTATTTCATTTTTCTTTTATTGAATTTAAAGGAGTGAGATTAGCCTATTAAGATTGTATAATTTTATAAAGGTCAATTATGTTAATTACTATTATTATGAGCATATATTTAGATTCAAATTAAGTCCTATTATAGTATGAGTTGTAACAAATATCATTATATTTAAAATATAATTAAGTCCTATTCTAGTATACCTATTGTCATGACTTGACAAACTTCTTTTCTTTTATGGTGGGTATTGCACTTCTAAGTTTGTGTTTTTAACCATATTTTAGATAAAGTTGAATGGAAAACCCCTTACCCCATTAGAGTTGTTTCGCAAAACACACAAACGAAAAGGATAACACATGGGTGGATCAAAGATGAGCACATGTGGATGTAAGTTTCTTATTTTTCTTATGTTAATTTCTTAAACAATTGTATCATTTTTTTAATGTTTTTATCCAATTCACAACTATTCTATTTTAATGTTTATAGGCAGAGTTTAGTCGTGCATGGGAAGAAGCCTCCCAATCAGGATCTATTGCAGGAGGCTCTCCACCCGATGAATTACGGGTTTGGTGTAAAGTTGCTCGGAATAAATAAAGGCAAAGTATATGGACTTGGATCCGAGTCAAGCAAAGCAATTGGGAGAAATCTTTGTCACGACTCTACTTCATCATCTCGTCCAGACTTATGAGAGAGGAGATTGAACAATTAAAACACAAGTTAGAGGAAGTTGAGACTGAAAGGGATGATCTCCGTGAAAGAATGTTAACTAATGAGAGACAAATTCGAAAAATGATAAAATGTTGCTCCTCTTGATGGAGAAGATGGATGTTCAACCTCCTGAATTGTGAACTGATTATATTTTATATATTGTATTTGTTTTGTTAGTTTCTAACATTTCTAGAATTATGATTCTTATTTTAGTTTATTCTACTTACTTTTAGATTGAATTTTCAATATGTAAGAAAGTATTTAATTAATGAGTGATGAATTTATTTAGAACAAAATTAGTGCTATTATTTGGATGGTTATTTTAGGTAGTGAAATTTTCATTATATATATATATATATATATATATATATATATATATATAATATTTTATATTCCTTAATCAGGTTTATCCTTATTTTACTAATAATATAAAAAATTAAAATAAAATTAGTGATCGATATAGTGACCGATTTGGTCATATATATTCGGTCATAAAATCGGTCACTAAATCGGTCACTGATTCGGTCACTAAATCGGTCACTGATTCGGTCACTAAATCAGTTACTGATTCGGTCACTAAATTGGTAACTGAATCGGTCACTAATTCGGTCACTGATTCGGTAACTAAATCGGTCACTAAAATAGTCACCAAGGAAATAGTGACCGATTCCAGTTAGTCACTATTTCGGTCACTATTTAGTGTTTTTCTTGTAGTGGTTCTATCTCTGACCATAAGGTTTTTCTCGGTAAACCATCAAGAAAGCATGAGAAGAGAAAGAAAGACAAAGAGATAGATTGAGAAAAAGGAGGTTGGAGAACAAAGAAATTAAAGAACATACTTTCATGAATCAATGTTAGTCTTCTTATTATTATGATTCATGTATTTATGTACGTTATATTGTGAAAACCAATAATATAAAGATCCTGTAGAGTAGTTTTCGAGAATGAACGTAGAAAATCTACAAATTAAATTACATGTAGTATCAGAGCATGTGTTATTAGATTTATGAATTTTCTTTTATGAAAGTTTTGTTAGAAAAGTAGTTTTAGATCAAGAGGGGGGGTGAATTGATCTTTGAAAGTTTTTCGCAAATAACAGATTTTCTAATTCGAAAATTAAGTTTAAAGATCTGTTCTTGAATCACAAAGCAATCAATCAAAATAAGCGCAGCAACTGAATTTAAAGGAGAGAAAGGTTAAGAAAGATATCACCGGTATTTTATACTGGTTCACCCAATACCAGGGCTACGTCCAGTCTCCAGCCAAATTCCAGTTGGGTTCCACTAGATTAAATGTTTTACAGATTCAACAATCTTACACCTAATCTATCATAAGAACTAAATTCCAGTTCTCGCACTTAACCTCTCCACCAAGAACCAAATTCCAGCTCTTGATAACCTCTACAACCAAATTCCAAACTGCGAGAGAAACCAAGTGCCCAAATTCCAGGCACCAACACCTAACCTCTCACCAAGAAGCAAATTCCAATTCTTGATAACCTCTACAACCAAATTCCAGCTGCAGAGAAACCAGTGCCCAAATTCCAGGCACCAACACCTAACCTCTCACCAAGAACCAAATTCCAGTTCTTGATAACCTCTACAACCAAATTCCAGCTGCAGAGAAACTAGTGCCCAAATTCCAGGCACCACACAGTACAAAAGAATGAAAAAGAATTGACAAAGAAGAAACTAGAAAGCTCAAACCAGTTTATCCAAATCTGCAGAGAGTTTCTTCTTCAAAAGAATGCAAGTTGCCTCAAGAAAGATTTTCAAAAGAACTTCTAAAAAATTTGTTGCGAATCTTTCTTAAAAAAAGTGCTAAAGTTTGCTTGAATGATTGCTTAAGGATGTGTAAAACTTATATGTAAAAAGTTCCAAGCAACTCTGATTTTAAAGAGTATTTTCAAAACTGCTGCATTAATTAATTTGTTAAAAGTTTGTTTTAATTTGTTGAAATAGTCGTTTCAATCTGTTAAAAGTCCTTTCAATCCATTAATACGTTCTTGATTCTTTAACAAATTTGTTTTAGCTGATACGACAACGTTTATATCAGTTAAAACACTTTACAAAAAATCTTCTAAGTTAATTCAATCGATTCTTTCGCGTTTTAATCGATTGAAATACTGCAAACTTTCTTATAAAACTTTTCAAGTTATTTTAACTGATAAACCATAGGTTTTAATCGATTAAAACTCTGCACACAATTTTTCCAAGTTGTTTTAATCGGTTGAAATGCGTTTTAATCGATTGAAACAGATCTGATCGGTCATAATTCAATTCTGATCGATCATAACAAACTCTGATCGGTCATAACTGCATTCTGATCGATCATTCTAACCCTTTAAGTGATTTTAATTGGTTCTTTCAAAACTATATCAGTTAAAAACATTATTAAGAAAGCTTTTGTCAAAATGCTTTGTTTTTAATTGTTTAAAACGATTTTAGAGGCATTTTGCAAAATCATTTAAGTGAAGAAACTTCATGCAGCAGAAAAGATAAAGTGGTTTTACTTAAGCATTCTGTTAGACACACTAATCCTCTAACTCTTTTATCTGAGTGAGTTGTTGACCACTGCAAAGTAGCCTTTTGACTTCATCTTTGACTTTATCAAATCAATGAGATCTTTGCCAAAGTATTTCACTAAGATCTTCATCACTTTCAAGTTTTTCCCAAATTATGTTTTTCCCAAATTAAGATAAACCCTAATTATGAATTTAGAGATTTTTCTATTAGATTAGTATGAACCCTAATTTATTCCCAAATTTATTTTTCCAAAATTGAATAAATGGATAAGCCCTAATTTATGGATAAGGCTCCAATCAATTTCAAATTGAAACTAATTTGATAAGGCTGCAATTGAAAGCAATTCACGTATGGCTAATGTTAGTATTAATTTATAATGTAATTCACGTACACCAATATGGAATTATGAAATGTGCAATTGAATTGAAAATATGAGTACGTGAATAGTTTCGTACAATTATTTTGATTTCCATCAAGTGATTTTATCTTAATGAAATGTGAATTTTGATCACGAGATGATCTGCTGGGCTTAGGAAAACCTCCGGGCCTGATATGTA